TCTTGTTCAGGGGACGTTAGTCTTGTTTTTTTTCAGGCCTTCAACTGATTGGACAAGGCCCACCAACATTATCGAGGGCAATCTGCTCTACTCGTAGTCCACTGGTTTCAATGTTACTCTCATAAAAAAAAAAAAAAAACACAACATTTTCACAGAAACAGTCAGAATAATATTTGACCAAATATCTGGGCGCCGTGGCCCAGCCAAGTTGACCCATATAATTAACCATCACAGGGAAAGTGGGGAAGGGCAGGGAAACAGAATTCCACCTTAAGAATTCCAGGGTTGATGTAGAGCGTGGGGCTGGATGTGGTAGAGTCAGAACATCCATGCATGCGCACGCACGCCCACGCACACCGGGCACACCCATGCCTGGGGCCGTTCCTTCACGGGCAGCCGTCTAGCTCAGGCCATCTGCCTGGTGGCTACACAGAGCCCATTTGCAATTCTCTCAGTCTTGACTTTTCTCCCAGACTCAGTGAACACACTCTCATAGACTAATAGACTCTTAGGAAGTTAATTAGCTTCTGGAACACAAACACTCCATGTCCTGAGTGGGCACAGAAGTAGATGAACAAGTGGATTCTGCCAAATGTGCTTCTGCTCAGGCCCAGACAGGCCAGGTCCCAGCCTGAGTGCGGAGGGTGGGCTCGGCCACAGCGATGAGGCTCAGCAGCCACCACCTGCAGTTGTGACACCCCATGGGGTAGAGCGTGCTGAGCCACAGCTAGGTTGCAGCCACTCCAAGACCTGAGGTCCTCAACTTTATTATTAATATAATGAGGGGGTTGGATAGAATCATCTCTAAGCTCTGTCTCCAGGTTCTGTCTCCAGCTCTGAAGGTTGTAGGCTTCACAGGCAAAACCCAACCAAGTTCAAGTAACAGAGCCCCAATCCCTGCCTTCTGCCAGGGGCACCCAGATAACAGCCCCAAGAATTTAGATAAAAGGTCAGATACTTGGGGGACCCCAAGGAAGAACAAAGTTGAGTGCAAATAGCAGGCCCCCAGAATAGCAGAAAGGAGAGAGAAGGGAGGGGTCCAATTCCTTCCTCCGAGCCATAGGGGAAGGGTCTTCTCCAGCCAGTGTCTGCTCCCCTGGATAGCGTTACAGGGAGTGAGGTCCTAGTTCAGCTAACTCCAGAGGTTCAAAAGCAGGTTCAAGGTCAAGAGGCACCATTTTCATTGCTAAACATAGGGCAGAAAAGACCTTCCCGGCTGAAAGGCGTTCAAGATGTGACTGTGCCATTGGGAAATGAAAGTTTCCAGGTGGGAGTTCGGTTAGAGGAGGGAATTGATGGTTCCCTGGGAAAGATTACCCTGGAACTGATGTCAAAGTCTCAGCCTCATCCTCGGATCAGCAGGTGAGGGGCTGGCAGGTCAGCCCGGTGGGCTGAGGGTTCAGGGGTACAATCTGCTGCTTCCTTCGCCGAGTCCCAACCCAGCCTCTTCCTGAAGGCAAGAGGAAGTCTCTGGGAGCCAGGAGTCAGGAGCCCACTGCCCCCGCCACTCCCTCTGGGCAAGCCCAGGGCACGATTTGAGCCTCGGTTTCTCCATCCATGACGTGGGCAGCCTCCTCAGGCTGCTTCCCGTAAAGGAGTGAGGCTAAGTGAGAACTTAGATGGGGATTCTGGTGATGCCTGGTGGAGAGCTGCTGGCTTGGGGCTGAGTGCTGGCCCAGAGTCACCATCTCTCTGACCCAAGCTTGGCTGCCCCGTCGTGTTGTCACGGCCCTGCCCTCCCGG